TGCATGGAATCTGATTTCACATCACTAATGTCGTATTTTACAAAGATGAATAAGACCTTAGTACACCTTTGTGAGTTTGCACGTAACTGACCTTCGTTGTATTTGTCTCGCAACAAATCGCGAAACCGTTCCGCCTGGCGCTTTTTGAGATCTTGCTCATTATCATCCGCAGCAACTTCCACCTTGAGCGAGGGTGTTTTTAAAGAACTCGTACTTCAAAATAAGGGTAATTTTATCCTTGAAAAAGAACTAAAACCAACTGCCTGTTCAGGAGTTGCTGAATGAGTTTCTGCAGGTAGAGGTACTGTCATTGAGGCAAGTGTGGCCTTCATCGCTTTTTCCATTTCGCTTTCCTCCTTTGGCTCTTCCGTTTTCTCCTTCTTAACCTCTTCGGTAACAGCAGTTGTAGCAGGTTTGGGTGCTGAAAGCAGACCTGATAGAAACACAGAGAAAGCCTTAATGAAGGATTCAACGCACCTTCTGCGGGAGCAGCCGTATTCAGACATTCCGGTCTAGTCCATGTCGTCTCTTTCGTGACAGTGTTGTAATAGTACGCTCGCCCCTCGGGTGTCTTATATTCTTTCCAAATCACATTCGAGGACGAAGATGAGGACGCAGTCGGAGTAGTACGCTAAATTGGATTTAAATAGCAAGTGATTATAGGTCTGATTTCTAAGCTAAATAAAGTAGGAAAACATTCCAAATCCTCGCCTAGATTCTAATCTCAAAAAGTTTCATTCCAAAAATGCAAATTAAGATGTATAGAACGCCTGAAAGATCCTTTTAACACTCTCATAAGCCCCATAAATAAAATAAAAATTGCATCCTGTGAAATCTTGGCCAACGACCTAACCAAAATTTCTACCTAACGAGTTGCCGGAGGAGTGCCACAGAGTAGGAGAAATGAATACATTTTCTTTTTTTGGAAGTTAAAGCTCTATTGAGGCGATTACAACAAGAATGCGCCTGGAATAAGAAAAAAACTTCACGCACCTCCTGACGCTCCTGTGGGGTTTTCAGCTCATCAGGCTTATTCCATGACGACTCCTTTGTGATTTTGTTGTAATAATAGACGCGACCTTCTGCTGTTTCATGCTTAGTCCAAGGGCAGTCCTTGAATTAAGAAAAGCTCGTCAAATATCATAGTCAAGACAGATATAGAAAAGAAAAATCTTGACTGACCGTCTGCGCCTGTGGACTCTCAGTGTGATTCTCTTCTCCTGCCATTCCAGGTGGCACAAGCATAGGGGTAGGCCTACCACTGACAGGGGCTGCAGCAGGCAGCGGTACTTGTACCAATGGATTCGCGGAGGACACCATTACTGTAACAATATAGGGGAAGATAACAAGAAGGATTGCAATTTACAACAAATCGACAAACCTCTTTGCAATGCATTTGCATTTAGTAAAATCTGCTGACCAGCTACTAATCCTGGATTGACGTTTAATATCGGAAAACCAAAACCAGGCAACATCTGAAAGTATAAAAGCCGCTGAGAGTGGGATTCACGTAATGATAAGAAAACGTAGAATGCCATAAGTGCGCCCTACATTAAAAACATCCTATTTGAAAATA